ATCGCGCCCCGAGGAGGGCAAGGGAGACCCAGGCCCCGCACGACGGTCCCCCTCGCTGGAGTGAGACTGAGGAAGGGGCCACTTTCTGCCCCCCTCCTCCTACTCCGCCCCAGAGAAAGAGCCTTACCCCTTCCACACCCAAACATCACTCTCCTGGACAATTACTTTTACTCTGAGAGAAAGGGCGACCAGCAGTGGCCCCATCCTCTCTGATTCCTGTCCAGGTCGGTTGTCATGGTAACCCTTCCCCATTGGTGGGGGCGAGTTGGTGGGGGACAGCCTTCCCCTCCCTTCCACCTTTGTGGTTATGGAGCCCCAAACCTCTTCGGACTCTGCACCAGGAGAAGGTTGCTAAGGTAACCTAAGTCCCTGGTGGTCCTTCTGCTCCTTTCCTCATTGGTTACTATGGCAACCCCCCACACCTAGCATTCAGGTAGAAAGTACCCCAGCCCCAAAGACGCTGATCTCTAAGAGAAGCACCTCTTCCCCAGCCCCTCCCCCATAGTCACCTAGTTGGCATTACCGTGGTAACCGTCTTCCCCTTCCCATTGTGGGAGGCCCATGCACCAAACCAACCAGGTGTTTTTATTTAGAGGAGGAGATGCTCTGCTGAGGAGCAGTTGCTATGGTTACAGGGCCTGGACCATCCTCTGGGGGACGAGAAACAGGCAAGGTCAAGGCCTGGTTACTATGGTAATAGAGAAGCCCCCTTCGAGTGACCCTAGGAACCAAGCCCAACCAAGGAGGGGAATTTTTTTTTTTTTTTTTTGGAGACGGAGTTTCACTCTTGTTGCCCAGGCTGGGATGCAATGACCCGATCTCAGCTCACCACAACCCCTGCCTCCTTGGTTCAAGCCGTTCTCCTGCCTCAGCCTCCTGAGTAGCTGGGATTACAGGCATGTGCCACCACGCCTGGCTAATTTTTTTTTTTTTAGTAGAGACGGGGTTTCTCCATGTTGGTCAGGCTGGTCTTGAACTCCGGACCTCAGGTGATCAGCTTTAGGCCCGCCTCAGCCTCCCAAAGTACTGGAATTACAGGTGTGAGCCTTCGCCGCTGGCCAGGGAGAATCTCTCAGAGGTGGAGTGTGTCTAGGGAGGGGGTTGTCATGGTAACAGCTTCTGTTGGCTTCTAGCCCTACCTTTTCTGGACACATTCATGCTAGAGGGATGGTTATAGGTTGCTGTGAATAACTGACATCCCTCCCACTCACCCCACCCCACTCCTGAGACACCCCAGGTAGTGCCTGAGATTATGGGACTTCAAGAGAAAGGATTCCCTGACCTTTCTCTTGCCACTATTATGGATAAGATGAAATTGTGCTCTATTGTACAGAAATGGCTAATTTGGGGTTTTCTGGTTCTCCTCTCAGGAGCGCAGCTCAGCTGGGCTGGAACTGCCCTCCTGGAACTCCCCCAGCCTGCAACCTAGAAGGTAAGAAGTCCCTCAGTGTCACCCGCATTCTCATGGAAACTGCCCTTCCCTTATTTCCTAAGCCTTTCCCATGTCTCTCTTTTTTTTCTTTTCTTTTTTTTTTTTTTTTTTGAGACAGAGTCTTGCTGTGTTGCCCAGACTGGAATGCAGTGGTACGGTCACAGCTCACTGCAGCCTCCACCTCCTAGGTTCAAGTGATTCTCCTGCCTCAGCCTCCCGAGTAGCTGGGATTACAGGCGCCCGCCACCACGCCTGGCTAATGTTTTGTATTTTTAGTAGAGACGGGGTTTCACCTTGTTGGCCAAGCTGGTCTCGAACTCCTGACCTCGTGATCCACCTGCCTCGGCCTCCCAAAGTGCTAGAATTTACAGGCATGAGCCACTGCGCCCAGACCTCTCATTTTTTTCTAACCGTCACATTCCCATTCCACAGATGCAGGAACTGAGGCTCAGGCCAAATCACAGCTCAGACCCCGTGAACCCAAGGCCTGAAGAGAATTTGGATTCATTTACATTGTTTTGTGGGGACTGGAGAGACAAGTAAGTTCTCAGCTTAACTGTCCTCTCCGGCTCTGACTACCATTTCTAAGGCAAGCCCCTTGTTTCTACTCTTGCGCCCCTTGCTGGTTTCTTGCCCTGTCTGTAAGTTGTATGGTTGTTGTCCGTCTTTTTTTTTTTTTTTTTTTTTTGGGGGGGGCACGGTCTCGCCCAGACTGGAGTGCAGTGGATCAATCTTGGCTCATTGCAACCTCCGCCTCCCGAGTTCAAGTGATTCTCACACCTCAGCCTCCCCAATAGTTGGGATTACAGGTGCACACCACCATGCCCAGCTAATCTTTGTATTTTTTGATAGAGAGGGGGTTTCACATGTTGCCCAGGCTGGTCTCTAACTCCTGACCTCAGGTGATCTGACCGCCTGGGCCTCTGAAAGTACTGAGATTACAGGTGTGAGCCACCACAGGTGTCCCTGTCAGTCTTCTTTCTGTCTTCTGGAGGGCTGACCTAATGAGTACCTCATTCATTCTGTATCCTCAAAACACAGGGTCCACTACAAAGAATACTTGAGTTTGTTGAGTTACCGAGTTGAATTAATTTATTAATGTGCCGCAGCCAAGCTTTGAAAGCACCTGTCAGGTTAGGGCTGGGGAAGGCTCACCAAAGATGGGTTGAGAGTCAGGGCTTCAGAAAGAACCCAAGAGAGAAGGCAAAGTTTATTGGTTTAAAGCACAGCTCTGTAGCCAGCTTCTTGGATCAACTCTTGGGTCCACTACTTCCCATTGTGTGACCTTGACAGAGAGTTAAAGAGACTTAACTCTTTAAGACAACTCTGGGCACTCTTGTTGCCCAGAGACTTAACTCTTTAACTCTGTGTGCCTTTATTTCCTTTTTTCTTTTTTTTTTCTTTTGAGATAAGCTCTCACTGTGTCACTGTCACACAGGCTGGAGTGCAGTGGCAAAGTCTCGACTCACTGCAGCCTCTGCCTCCTAGGCTCAAGAAATCCTTCGACTTCAGCCACCAGAGTAGCTGGGACTACAGGCGCACACCACCATGCCCGGCTAATTTTTTAATTTTTTTGTAGAGATGGGGTCTTACCAGTCCACGCTGGTCTCAAAATCCCAGACTCAAGCAATCTCCCCCCGCCTCATCCTCCCAAAGTGCTGGGATCACAGGCGTGAACCACCACATCAACTGGTTTCCATTTTTAAATGTGATCATAACGTGAGGATTAAATAAGTGAATATGCATAAAGTGCTTAGAACAGGGCCTGGCACAGGGTGAGCTGCTAGAATTGTTATTATTATCCTCCGATTCAGAAAAATTTAGAACATTCAGACCTTCAAAATCATCATTGCATCCACTTTGCCCCAATGAAAGAGTTTGTAGCCCTTAGAGGTGGTGAAGTCTGCGTGGCTTTGTCAGGGTACTGGATGATTCCTTTCCCCGCCTCAGCTTCCCTCACATCCTCACCAGCAGGTGGCACTTCCTTATCTGGCCATCAAACCCACTGGTGTCTGGTCTGCAAGGGCCAAGGTCCGTGGTGGGCCTGCGGGTAGCCAGGACCTGGCTGCTGTCCTCTGCCCTGCTGGGCACCTCCTGGCCGACCCAGAGTCAGTCAGACAGTGTGGCAAGAGCCAGGGCCTCGGAAGCGGAGACCTCGGTTCTCATCCCTGCATCCTTCCCATCTCTCTGAGCCAGAGGTTCCTGTCTTTCTTTTTTGAGACAGGGTCTCACTCTGTCGCCCAGGCTGGAGTGCAGCGGCTGGATCACAGCTCACTGCAGCCTCTACCTCCTCGGCTCAAGGGACCCTCCCACCTCAGCCTCCCTCCTAAGTAGCTGAGACCACAGGTAGGTTCCACCATGCCTGGCTAATTTTTGTATTTTTTGTAGAGACAGGGTTCCACTATGTTGCCCGGGCTAGTCTTGAACTCCTGAGCTCAAGCGATCCTCCTGCCTCAGCTTCCTATAGTTCTTGGATTACAGGAGCGAACCACCACACCCAGCCCACGTTCCCTATGTTAATAATTCAAGTCACTCATTCAACCAACACATATTTATTGAGCACCTGCTATGTGCCAGGCACTGAGCTGTGCTCTGGGGATACAGTAGGGAAAACAGATCCCTGCCCTTCATGGTGATTCTGGCAACAAACAGACTAAGTAAAATCCACGTGACAACTACCAGGGGAGCAAAATAAGGCAGGAATGGGGTATAGGAAGTACATGGGTGATAGGGAGATGCTTTAAAAAAAAAAAAAAAAAAAAAGCTGGGCTCGGTGACTCATGCCTGTAATCCCAGCATTTTGGGAGGTCGAGGCGAGCAGATCACGAGGTCAGGAGTTCGAGACCAGCCTGACCAACATGGTGAAACCCTGTCTCTACTAAAAATACAAAAATTAGCCCGGCATGGTGGTTCATGCCTGTAATCCCAGCTACTCAGGAGGCTGAGGCAGAAGAATCGCTTGAACCTGGGAGGCGGAGGTTGCGGTGAGCTGAGTTTACACCACTGCACTCCAGCCTGGGCAACAGAGCAAGACTCCATTTCAAAAAAAAAAAAAGATGAGGTCTCACTCTATTGCCTGGGCTGGAGTGCGATGGTGCCATCATGGCTCACTGTACCCTCGACTTCCCCAGCTCAAGTGATCTTCCCACCTCAGCGTCCCAAGTAACTGGGACTACAGGTGCAAAAGCCATCACGTCCAGATAGTTTTGTTTATTTTTTGTCAGCAAAGCAAGACGCTGTCCCTTTAAAAACAAAAATTGTTTTGGCCGGGTGCGGTGGCTCACGCCTGTAATCCCAACACTTTGGGAGGCCAAGGCAGGCGGATCATGAGGTCAAGAGATTGAGACCACGCTGGCCAACATGGTGAAAACCCATCTCTACTAAAAATACAAAACTTAGCCGGGCATGGTGGCAGGCTTCTGTAGTCCCAGCTACTTGGGAAGCTGAGGCAGGAGAATCACTTGAACCCGGGAGGTGGAGGTTGCAGTGAGCCAAGATCGCACCATCTCACTCCAGCCTGGCAACAGAGCGAGACTCTGTCT